GACACAGAATTGTTACTGAGGGACACAGAATTGTTACTGAGGGCCACAGAACCGTTACTTAGGGCAACAGAATTGTTACTCAGGGACACAGAATTGTTACTGAGGGCCACAGAACCGTTACTTAGGCCACAGAATTGTTACTCAGGGACAGACACAGAATTGTTACTCAGGGAACACAGAATTGTTACTGAGGGCCACAGAACCGTTACTTTAGGGCCACAGAAAACGTTACTCAGGGACACAGAATTGTTACTGAGGGCCACATAACCGTTACTTAGGGCCACAGAATTGTTACTCAGGGCCACAGAATTGTTACTGAGGGCCACAGAACCGTTACTTAGGGCCACAGAATTGTTATTACTCAAGGGACAGACACAGAATTGTTACTCAGGGACACAGAATTGTTACTCAGGGACACAGAATCGTTACTTAGGGCCACAGAATTGTTACTTCAGGCCACAGAGAATTGTTACTGAGGGCCACAGAACCGTTACTTAGGGCCACAGAATTGTTACTCATGGGGACAGACACAGAATTGTTACTGAGGGACACAGAATTGTTACTGAGGGCCCACAGAACCGTTACTTAGGGCCACAGAATTGTTACTGAGGGACACAGAATTTGTTACTGAGGGCCACAGAACCGTTACTTAGTGCCACAGAATTGTTACTCAGGGACAGACACAGAATTTTTACTCAGGGACACAGAATTGTTACTGAGGGCACACAGAACCGTTACTTAGGGCCACAGAATTGTTACTCAGGGACACAGAATTGTTATCTGAGGGCCACAGAACCGTTACTGTTAGGGCCACAGAATTGTTACTCAGGGACAGACACAGAATTGTTACTCAGGGGCACAGAATTGTTACTGAGGGCCACAGAACCGTTACTTAGGGCCACAGAAACGTTACTCAGGGACACAGAATTGTTACTGAGGGCCACAGAACCGTTACTTAGGGCCACAGAATTGTTATTCAGGACACAGAATTGTTACTGAGGGCCACAGAACCGTTACTTAGGGCCACAGAATTGTTACTCAGGGACAGACACAGAATTGTTACTCAGGGACACAGAAATTGTTACTCAGGGACACAGAATCGTTGAATTAAAGAGTATGTCAGACAACACGCAGAGGAGTGGCAGAGGAGGCAATGTTTCAGGAGCGAGCAGACGTGGCAGCAGAGGAAGGGGTCGAGGCAGCACTATTCGCAGCCAGAGGCCAGTGCTCCCGGTGTCATCCAGCAGTCGTGTCTCCACCGACAACCCTGCCGTCATCGATTTGGTTGGCTCGGTCGTCTTCCTCTTCCCAGGTCACCTCTGACACCTACAGCCAACGGTCGGTGTGTACGTCAGAACAACCGTTAGTTGGCATGGCCCGGGAGCAAGCCCACTGAAATCACGTGTCCTCTACCTGCCCCTGTCCTTTGCTGTTCCCTCACCAAGCGAAGTATCGCATGCTGTGGGCTCAGCCCCACTGTACAGTGAGGAAGAGCTAACAGAGGGCGGTCAGGAACGGGGGGAGACAATCCCCTTTTCAGCAGCCAGGCGAAGAAGTACTGGCGAGGAGAGTGGCTCGGTAGCCGGTCTAGAGACAGGTCTGTCTCCTGACCCAGACGCAGCCGAGGGGGCTAGTAGTGAGGCGGAGACCCTACTTGATGATGAGGAGGTTGATTGCACTTGGCAGCCTCGTCGTCATCAGGTAATTTCTTCCGCATCATCAGGAGAAGAGGGTGCCAGCTTGGCAGCGAGCGAAACAGTCAGTGGGTGCCCAGGAGGCAGCAGGGTCGCAGCAGTGTCAGTGGAGCCAAACGTCCACGGAGTAGAGCACCAGCTCCACTGCAGCCTACCACCTGCACCACGGCCAGTAGTGGTGCCGGTGCGCACGGAGGAAGTAGCAGTCAGCCAGTGAGGAGTAGCGGGGGGAAAGTTTCCTACTCGGTTGTGTGTGGCAATTTTTCGTCAAGCCGCCCGAGGAAGTAAACGTAGCCGTATGTCGACTATGTGGCCAGAAATGCAAGCGTGGCCAGGGGGCCCATGTTGGGGACTACAGCGTTGCGTCAGCATATGCAGCGTCACCATTCGGTGGCCTGGGAAAACCGTGATAAAGATACGGCGGTTCTGCCTGCCCCAGCCCCCGCTCCATCACCCGCTCCGTTACTTTCTCCGTCACCCGACGTCAATCGCCCTCTATCAGCCAGTCAAGGCTCCAACACCTCTGCTGAGGGGAGTTGTCGCTCGTTGGCATCTTCCGCTCATTCAGATGCTCCTTCTCCTGCTACTCCTCTTCTCGGATTCCGTCAGCAGTCCTTTTCTTGGAATCCGTTTCCAAGAGACAACAGTTTGCGAGCACGCACCGACGGTGCAAAAGCTGAACGTCCTCCTGTCCAAGTTGCTGGTGCTGCAGTCCCTCCCTTTCCAACTGCTGGACTCAGCACCTTTCCGAGAAATGATGGCTTGTGCCGCGCCGCGGTGGAGAGTGCCAAGCCGTCATTTCTTCGCCCAAAAGGCAGTGCCAGCCCTGCATTCACATGTAGAAGAGATGGTGGGCCAGTCTTTGAGCATGTCGGTCTCTGCCAAAGTGCACGGCAGCGCCGACGTGTGGAGCTGTAACTACGGTCAGGGACAGTACATGTCATTTTACGGCCCACTGGGTGAACGTGGTGCCGGCACAGCCGCACCAGCAACTTGGACAGGTCACGCCGCTTTTGCCTCCACGTTTGCACGTCCTTGGTCCAGCAAAGATGTCCGCCTCTACCACCTCTTCTTCCGCCGTGTCCTCAGCCGCCACCCCCGTGCCAAGTCCCATTACCCGACCGGCATATCACATGTGCAGGGCGCAACGGTGTCACGCTGTGCTGCACCTGGTATGCCTTGGCGAACGTAGTCACACAGGGGAGGAACTTCTGAGTGTAATGAACAGAGAAATCGACAGATGGCTGTCTCCCTGCACAAACTGAAAATCGGAACCATGTTTGACCGACAAACGGAAAGAACATGGTGTCTGCTCTGCGTCAAGGAAGGTTGTGCCATGCGCCATGCATGGCTCACGTGTTCAATCTGGTTGTCAAGCGGGTTCCTAAAATCCACCATCCCACTGCAAGACATCCTTAAAATGTCACGTAAACTTTGCATGCATTTCAGCCATTCCTACAGCGCAAAGAACACCCTCATTGAGCTGCAGCGGCAGAACGGAATTCCACAGCATCGCCTGATCTGCGACGTTGCAACAAGGTGGAATTCAACCCTACACATGTTAGACCGCCTTTACGAGCAGCGAAAGGCCATCACCGATTTCCTGATGTTACAAGCGGATAAAGGTACTCTCCTGTGTAACTTCGATGTCAGCCATTGGCAGCTCATGCTTGACACCTGCCGCTTGCTCAGGACCTTTGAGGAGGCCACGCTATTCGTGAGTCGGCAGGACTATGGGATGAACGACGTCATTCCTCTGTTGCACGTCCTGGAACAAATGCTGTTAACAATGGCTGGTCAGGGTGCGGTAGACGTGGCGCACAGATCTCAACGCCACATGACCCCTGTGGGGGCAGGACAGGAAGAAGAGGAGGAGGTAGAGGAGGACATTTGTGCTCAGGAATTATTGAGTGAAATGGGTGTTTTTTCCACTCAGCGGACAGGAGTGGAGGAGCAGGAGCATCTGGTAGAGGAGGAGGAGACAGAGGACCCAGACGCACCGTGGCAGTATGCTGTGGAGATGGAGGCAGGGAGTCCCTCGCATTCCTTGGCACAAATGGCCCATAGCATGCTTGGTTGCTTGCGTAGCGACAGCCGAATAATAACCATCAGACAGAGGGATGACTTTTGGCTGTCCACCTTGTTGGACCCTCGCTACCGTTCCAAAATGGTGGCCTTTTTCACACCTGCTGAGAGGGAGGCCAAAATTATGTACTATAAAAAAACCACCTATGTAGTCAGTTGGTCTCTGCCTTTCTGCGCCAACGTCCATCCTCAGACACTGTGGGCCCTGTGCGCTTGCGTTCCGCTGCCATGGCAGCAGGGGAGGGGTGGGGTGGTAGGAGCAGTGGCAGCTCCACCAGCAGCGGCTGCCTCAGTCTGCAGTCGATGATGAGTAGCTTTCTTCACCAGCGCAGTGAGGAAACTACTAACCAGCCGCAGCAGCATCAGGTGGACCTGGAGCAGGAGCTCAAACAACAGGCTTGGGCCTACTTGGACAGCACCCTGCCAACCGAGGTAGACAATCCCCTTGACTACTGGGCAACGAAACTTGACCTTTGGCCCCAACTAGCTGAATTTGCCCTTGAAAGGCTGTCATGCCCGGCCAGTAGCGTGGCATCGGAGCGCGTGTTTAGTGCGGCAGGAGGTATTGTAACTCCGCGGAGGACACGACTGTCCACCCAAAGTGTGGAGAGACTCACGTTTGTGAAAATGAATCAGGCGTGGATTAGTCTGGATTTCAAAACCACCAGTTCCTGACACAACTGACTAAATCCGCCATGAATCATGCCCCAAACATGTGCCACTTTCAGGTCTCCTCACACACTGCTGGTGTGTTCCATTTTTTGTCATAGGGTGCTGGCAGATTACGGGCCTCCCATAGCTGCTGCCAGGCACCTAATCTGCCATGGGCCCCTATACTGCCTCCTCATGCTGCTGCCAGGTCCAGAGTCTCTCATGCCATGTGCCACTTTCAGGTCTCCTCACACACTGCTGGTGTGTTCCATTTTTTGTCATAGGGTGCTGGCAGATTACGGGCCTCCCATAGCTGCTGCCAGGCCCCTAATCTGCCATGGGCCCCTGTACCGCCTCCTCATGCTGCTGCCAGGTCCAGAGTCTCTCATGGGTCCCTGTACGGCCTCCCATTGCTGCTGTCTCCCATCGCCTCACTCTGCCATGTGCCACTTTCAGGTCTCCTCACACTGCTGGTGTGTTCAATTTTTTGTCATAGGGTGCTGGCAGATTACGGGCCTCACATAGCTGCTGCCAGGCCCCTAATCTGCCATGGGCCCCTATACCGCCTCCTCATGCTGCTGCCAGGTCCACAGTCTCTCATGGGTCCCTGTACGGCCTCCCATTGCTGCTGTCTCCATCGCCACACTCTGCCATGTGCCACTTTCAGGTCTCCTCACACTGCTGGTGTGTTACATTTTTTGTCATAGGGTGCTGGCAGATTACGGGCCCTCACATAGCTGCTGCCAGGCCCCTAATCTGCCATGGGCCCCTGTACCGCCTCCTCATGCTGCTGCCAGGTCCAGAGTCTCTCATGGGTCCCTGTACGGCCTCCCATTGCTGCTCTCTCCCATCGCCTCACTCTGCCATGTGCCACTTTCAGGTCTCCTCACACACTGCTGGTGTGTTCAATTTTTTGTCATAGGGTGCTGGCAGATTATGGGCCTCCCATAGCTGCTGCCAGGCCCCTAATCTGCCATGGGCCCCTATACCGCCTCCTCATGCTGCTGCCAGGTCCACAGTCTCTCATGGGTCCCTGTACGGCCTCCCATTGCTGCTGTCTCCATCGCCACACTCTGCCATGTGCCACTTTCAGGTCTCCTCACACTGCTGGTGTGTTCCATTTTTTTGTCATAGGGTGCTGGCAGATTACGAGCCTCACATAGCTGCTGCCAGGCCCCTAATCTGCCATGGGCCCCTATACCGCCTCCTCATGCTGCTGCCAGGTCCAGAGTCTCTCATGGGTCCCTGTACGGCCTCCCATTGCTGCTGTCTCCATCGCCACACTCTGCCATGTGCCACTTTCAGGTCTCCTCACACACTGCTGGTGTGTTCCATTTTTTGTCATAGGGTGCTGGCAGATTACGGGCCTCCCATAGCTGCTGCCAGGCCCCTAATCTGCCATGGGCCCCTATACCGCCTCCTCATGCTGCTGCCAGGTCCACAGTCTCTCATGGGTCCCTGTACGGCCTCCCATTGCTGCTGTCTCCATCGCCACACTCTGCCATGTGCCACTTTCAGGTCTCCTCACACTGCTGGTGTGTTCCATTTTTTGTCATAGGGTGCTGGCAGATTACGGGCCTCACATAGCTGCTGCCAGGCCCCTAATCTGCCATGGGCCCCTATACCGCCTCCTCATGCTGCTGCCAGGTCCAGAGTCTCTCATGCCATGTGCCACTTTCAGGTCTCCTCACACACTGCTGGTGTGTTCAATTTTTTGTCATAGGGTGCTGGCAGATTACGGGCCTCCCATAGCTGCTGCCAGGCCCCTAATCTGCCATGGGCCCCTATACCGCATGCTCCACAGTCTCTCATGCATGTGCCACTTTCAGGCCCTCCACTGCTGGTGTGTTCAATTTTTTGACATGGGTGCCAGATTACGGCCTCCCATAGCTGCTGCCAGGCCCCTAATCTGCCATGGGCTGTACCGCCTCCTCATGCTGCTGCCAGGTCCAGAGTCCTCATGGGTCCCTGTCTGCCATGTGCTGTCTCCCACGCCTCACTTCAGGTCTCCTCACACTGCTGGTGTGTTCAATTTTTTGACATAGGGTGCTGGCAGATTACGGGCCTCCCATTGCTGCTGCCAGGCACGTAATCTGCCATGGGCCCCGTACCGACTCTTCATGCTGTGACGTTGCAACAAGGTGGAATTCAACCCTACATATGTTAGACCCCCTTTACGAACAGCGAAAGGCCATCACAGATTTCCTGATGTTAAAAGCGGATAAAGGTACTCCCTGTGTAACTTAGATGTCAGCCATTGGCAGCTCATGCGTGACACCTGCGCTTGCTCAGGCCCTTTGAGGAGGCCACGCTATTCGTGAGTCGGCAGGACTATGGGATGAACGAGGTCAAATCTGCCATGGGCCCCCGTACCGCCTGGTCACGCTGCTGCTGGTCCCACAGTGTGACCTGGGTCCCTGTACGGCCTCCCATTGCTCCCACTCTGTCATGTGCCACTTTGAGGTCCCCTCACACTCCTGCGTTTTTCCATTTTGTCATAGGTTGCTGGCAGATTACAGGCCACCCATAGGTGCCGCCAGGCCCCAAATCGGCCATGGGCCCCCGTACCGCCTGGTCACGCTGCTGCTGCTGAGCCCACAGTGTGACCTGGGTCCCTGTACCGCCTCCCATTGCTCCCACTGTACCATGTGCCACTTTTGAGGTCTCCTCACACTCCTGCGGTTTTCCATTTTGTCATAGGTTGCTGGCAGATTACAGGCCTCCCATAGGTGCCGCCAGGCCCCAAATCGGCCATGGGCCCCCGTACCGCCTGGTCACGCTGCTGCTGGGCCCACAGTGTGACCTGGGTCCCTGTACCGCCTCCCATTCCTCCCACTCTACCATGTGCCACTTTGAGGTCTCCTCACACTCCTGCGGTTTTCCATTTTGTCATAGGTTGCTGGCAGATTACAGGCCACCCATAGGTGCCGCCAGGCCCCAAATCGGCCATGGGCCCCCGTACCGCCTGGTCACGCTGCTGCTGGTCCCACAGTGTGACCTGGGTCCCTGTACGGCCTCCCATTGCTCCCACTCTACCATGTGCCACTTTGAGGTCTCCTCACACTCCTGCGGTTTTCCATTTTGTCATAGGTTGCTGGCAGATTACAGGCCTCCCATAGGTGCCGCCAGGCCCCAAATCTGCCATGGGCCCCCGTACCGCCTGGTCACGCTGCTGCTGGTCCCACAGTGTGACCTGGGTCCCTGTACGGCCTCCCATTGCTCCCACTCTACCATGTGCCACTTTGAGGTCTCCTCACACTCCTGCGGTTTTCCATTTTGTCATAGGTTGCTGGCAGATTACAGGCCACCCATAGGTGCCGCCAGGCCCCAAATCGGCCATGGGCCCCCCGTACCGCCTGGTCACGCTGCTGCTGAGCCCACAGTGTGACCTGGGTCCCTGTACCGCCTCCCATTGCTCCCACTCTACCATGTGCCACTTTGAGGTCTCCTCACACTCCTGCGGTTTTCCATTTTGTCATAGGTTGCTGGCAGATTACAGGCCTCCCATAGGTGCCGCCAGGCCCCAAATCGGCCATGGGCCCCCGTACCGCCTGGTCACGCTGCTGCTGGGCCCACAGTGTGACCTGGGTCCTGTACCGCCTCCCATTCCTCCCACTCTACCATGTGCACTTTGAGGTCTCCTCACACTCCTGCGGTTTTCCATTTTGTCATAGGTTGCTTGCAGATTACAGGCCTCCCATAGGTGCCGCCAGGCCCCAAATCGGCCATGGGCCCCCGTACCGCCTGGTCACGCTGCTGCTGAGCCCACAGTGTGACCTGGGTCCCTGTACGGCCTCCCATTGCTCCCACTCTGCCATGTGCCACTTTGAGGTCTCCTCACACTCCTGCGGTTTTCCATTTTGTCATAGGTTGCTGGCAGATTACAGGCCTCCCATAGGTGCCGCCAGGCCCCAAATCGGCCATGGGCCCCCGTACCGCCTGGTCACGCTGCTGCTGAGCCCACAGTGTGACCTGGGTCCCTGTACCGCCTCCCATTGCTCCCACTCTACGATGTGCCACTTTCAGGTCTCCTCACACTCCTGCGGTTTTCCATTTTGTCATAGGTTGCTGGCAGATTACAGGCCTCCCATAGGTGCCGCCAGGCCCCAAATCGGCCATGGGCCCCCGTACCGCCTGGTCACGCTGCTGCTGAGCCCACAGTGTGACCTGGGTCCCTGTACCGCCTCCCATTGCTCCCACTCTACCATGTGCCACTTTGAGGTCTCCTCACACTCCTGCGGTTTTCCATTTTGTCATAGGTTGCTGGCAGATTACAGGCCTCCCATAGGTGCCGCCAGGCCCCAAATCGGCCATGGGCCCCCGTACCGCCTGGTCACGCTGCTGCTGGGCCCACAGTGTGACCTGGGTCCCTGTACCGCCTCCCATTCCTCCCACTCTACCATGTGCACTTTGAGGTCTCCTCACACTCCTGCGGTTTTCCATTTTGTCATAGGTTGCTTGCAGATTACAGGCCTCCCATAGGTGCCGCCAGGCCCCAAATCGGCCATGGGCCCCCGTACCGCCTGGTCACGCTGCTGCTGAGCCCACAGTGTGACCTGGGTCCCTGTACGGCCTCCCATTGCTCCCACTCTGCCATGTGCCACTTTGAGGTCTCCTCACACTCCTGCGGTTTTCCATTTTGTCATAGGTTGCTGACAGATTACAGGCCTCCCATAGGTGCCGCCAGGCCCCAAATCGGCCATGGGCCCCCGTACCGCCTGGTCACGCTGCTGCTGAGCCCACAGTGTGACCTGGGTCCCTGTACCGCCTCCCATTGCTCCCACTCTACGATGTGCCACTTTCAGGTCTCCTCACACTCCTGCGGTTTTCCATTTTGTCATAGGTTGCTGGCAGATTACAGGCCTCCCATAGGTGCCGCCAGGCCCCAAATCGGCCATGGGCCCCCGTACCGCCTGGTCACGCTGCTGCTGAGCCCACAGTGTGACCTGGGTCCCTGTACCGCCTCCCATTGCTCCCACTCTACCATGTGCCACTTTGAGGTCTCCTCACACTCCTGCGGTTTTCCATTTTGTCATAGGTTGCTGGCAGATTACAGGCCTCCCATAGGTGCCGCCAGGCCCCAAATCGGCCATGGGCCCCCGTACCGCCTGCCTGGTCACGCTGCTGCTGAGCCCACAGTGTGACCTGGGTCCCTGTACCGCCTCCCATTGCTCCCACTCTGCCATGTGCCACTTTGAGGTCTCCTCACACTCCTGCTGGTTTCCATTTTGTCATAGGTTGCTGTATGGCCTCCCATTGCTGCTGCCTCCACCGCCACACTGTGGCTCCAAACACTGGTTTTGGCCCCGTGACTGGCCAAATGAGTGAAGTGTGCAGTGATTCTAAGATCGACGGCACTCATCTGCATGTCATACTGACTGACAGTATTATTTCTCTTCCCCAGCAGACTCCAAGGGCATTTAAATTAAAGGTACAGTGTTCTGCACTAATATTAAGTCTCTCTGAAGCCTAGAAACACCCTTTTTTAAGTTAAATTCACAGCGAATATATTCGACTCGAATCGAATATTGTCCACGAATTCGCCGAATCAGTCGAATCAAATTTTTGAATACTTCGCTCATCTCTAATTAATATAGGTGCACCCAAAACAAATCTCCAACCCTCTATAACCGTGTTATACTTGTAGATCAAGAGTCAGATGTTCTGTCCAAAAAAGAACCATGTACAGTACTATAAATAGATTTTATACAAAGAGGGGGGGAGAAGAGGGTCACAATGAGCTCTACGCGTTTCACGGTCCAAGCAGCTTCATCAGGAGAAGTACGGATCAGAATCTATTACAATCTATAAAACAATCAGCAGTAAGTGTATACAAATGTAATAGGAAGAAGGGTGAGCCGCACACCGGAGGATTGATGAATATAGTGTGTATTTATTATCCATAGGACACACAACACCAGGACATCAATACAGGACCTGTTAACGCGTTTCACACCATCTCGTGCTTAATCATAGCTTTGGTCCTGTATTCATGTCCTGGTGTTTTGTGTGTCCGATGGATCAATAAATACACACTATATTCATCTATCCTCCGGTGTGCGGCTCACCCTTCTTCCTATTGCATGGTGTGTGGTGGTGAGCCAGAGCCGGCACCTGTTGTGGATTGGTCTGGATTGTTTGCCTGAGCCGTATTCCTTTGTTCTTCAAAGTGTATACAATGACAAAATATAACAACGTAGATACAAATACACATCACATCTTCTCTTTCCCACGTCATTCTCTTACCTAAGATGGATGTGGCTATCTAGGAGTAACCATCAGCCCAAGACCCCCCAGTGAGGGAGAGATATCCCCCCTAAAGCAAGACCACTGGAGCATACTAGGACAGACCGGGCCAAAACCCCACCAGTCTCCAACATTTTCAATGTATCCTGCATGGCGGTATAAATATATAGTATGCAGTAATATACTAAGTACATCCCTAATTGTAACACCAATACTATGTAATACCACTTGCACCCGGTATACAGGTGATCTCGAAAAATGAGAATATGGTGCAAAAGTTCATTTATTTCAGTGCAGCAACTTAAAAGGTGACACTAATATATGAGATAGACTCATTCCATGCAAAGCAAGATAGTTCCAGCCGTGATTTGTCATCATTGTGATGATTATGGCTTACAGTTTATGAAAACCCCAAATCCGCAATCTCAGAAAATGAGAATATTCCATGAAATCAATAAAACAACATTAGACAGACAATATCGCACCTCTGAAAAGTAGAAGCTGCATATGTACTCAGTACTTGGTTTGGGCCCCTTTTGCAACAATTACTGCCTCAGTGCGGCGTGGCATGGAAGCTATCAGCCTGTGGCACTGCTAAGGTGTTATGGAAGACCAGGATGCTTCAATAGCGGCCTTCAGCTCTACTGCATTGTTCGGTCTCATGTCTCTCATCTTTATCTTGGCAATGCCCCATAGATTCTCTATGGGGTTCAGGTCAGGCGAGTTTGCTAGCCAATCAAGCACACTAATCCCACGGTCATTGAACCAGGTTTTGGTGCTTTTGGCAGTGTGGGAGGTGCCAAGTCCTGCTGGAAAATGAAGTCAGCATCCCCATAAAGCTGGTCTGTGGAAGGAAGCATGAAGTGCTCCAAAATCTCCTGGTAGACGGCTGCGGTGACCCTGGACTTAATGAAGCACAGTGGACCAACACCAGCAGATGACATGGCTCCCCAAATCAACACAGACTGTGGAAACTTCACACTGGACTTCAAGCATCTTGCAGTGTGTGCCTCTCCATTCTTCCTCCATACTCGGGGTCCTTGTGCCTCTCCATTCTTCCTCCATACTCGGGGTCCTTGGGCCTCTCCATTCTTCCTCCATACTCGGGGTCCTTGTGCCTCTCCATTCTTCCTCCATACTCGGGGTCCTTGTGCCTCTCCATTCTTCCTCCATACTCAGGGTCCTTGTGCCTCTCCATTCTTCCTCCATACTCGGGGTCCTTGTGCCTCTCCATTCTTCCTCCATACTCGGGGTCCTTGTGCCTCTCCATTCTTCCTCCATACTCGGGGTCCTTGGGCCTCTCCATTCTTCCCCCATACTCGGGGTCCTTGGGCCTCTCCATTCTTCCCGCATACTCGGGGTCCTTGGGCCTCTCCATTCTTCCTCCATACTCGGGGTCCTTGGGCCTCTCCATTCTTCCCCCATACTCGGGGTCCTTGGGCCTCTCCATTCTTCCTCCATAATCGGGGGTCCTTGGGCCTCTCCATTCTTCCTCCATACTCGGGGTCCTTGGGCCTCTCCATTCTTCCTCCATACTCGGGGTCCTTGGGCCTTTCCATTCTTCCTCCATACTCGGGGTCCTTGGGCCTCTCCATTCTTCCTCCATATTCGGGGTCCTTGGTTTCCAAATGAGATGCAAAAGTTGCTCTCATCAGAAAAGAGGACTTTGGACCACTGAACACCAGACCAGGTCTGTTTTTCTTTAGCTCAGGTAAGACGCTTCTGACGTTGTTTGTTGTTCAGGAGCGGCTTGACAAGAGGAATACGACATCTGAAGCCCATGTCCAGGATCCGTCTGTGTGTGGTGGCTCTTGATGCACTGACTCCAGCCTCAGTCCACTCCTTGTGAAAGTCCCCAACACTTTTGAATGGCCTTTTCCTAACAATCTTCTCCAGGCTGCGGTCATCCCTGCTGCTTGTGCACCTTTTTTCTTCCACACTTTTCCCTTCCATATAACTTTCTATTAATGTGCTTTGATACAGCACTTTGGGAACATCCAACTTCTTTTGCAATCCCCTTTTGAGGCTTTCCCTCCTTATGGAGGGTGTCAGTGATGGTGTCAGGTCAGCAGTCTTTCCCATGATTGTGATTCCTACTGAACCAGACTGAGAGACCATTTAAAGGCTCAGGAACCCTTTGCAGGTGTTATGGCTGAATTAGCTGATTAGAGTGGGACACTTTGAGCCGAGATTATTCCACCTTTTCACAATATTCTCATTTTCTGAGATTGTGGATTTGGGGTTTTCATGAGCTGTAAGCCATAATCATCACAATGATGACAAATCACGGCTTGAACTATCTTGCTTTGCATCGAATGAGTCTATCTCATATATTTCACCTTTTAAGTTGCTGCACTGAAATAAATCAACTTTTGCACCATATTCTGATTTTTCACGTTTCACCTGTATACATGATTCACCTCCCACAATTTTGGAAGGCCTGGGGGGGGGACCCCAAGGGATCAATCATCCAATTTAGGCCAGTGATCCTTTTAGGGATCTCCCTGTACATGTGATTACACTTACACAGGTACAGGAAATGATGACATCTTCTCTCTCGGTGCACATTCCATCCCAGAGAGAGAAGAAAGAAGAAGCCCACTCACACAGTAAGAACACACTTTAGGACACATTTATCCTCTTGATTGCCCCCCCCCCCCCCGAGTTAACCCCTTCACTGCCCTGTCACCAGTGTCATTAGTACAGTGCACAGATTTTTTACTGATCACTGTATTAGTGTCACTGGCGACTTCAGATGGTGCTAGCATCAGTTAGCGTCCCTCCCAGATAGCGTCAGATTGCCCGTCAGTACACCAGTCATCACATTTAACCCCTTGATTGCCAGGAAGACGCTCATACACAATATACCTCCATTGCTAGTATAGTGTCTGAACGGATCAATATCTTTGATCAGATCAGCACTATACCAGTGTTCACATTAGTATAGTGTCCCCAAAAATTCAGCATTAGCTGGATCAGCCCCGACACTGCCAGTACCTGTGTTTAGCCCCTACGTTTACCCCCCCCCCAGCCAGTGCAGTGTCAGTAGGTCACTGTCACTTGATACATTGCACACAAAACCGCAGTGTTGGCAGAATCAGGCCTGATCTCTGTTAGCACTTGCCAAAAAATTTTTTATAGCGGTTCATGCAGTCCCTGACAGCCAGGTGATCTTTTTCCCGTGAGTCCCACTAGGTACCTAGAAATTTAGTAGCCAACATGTCAATGGAAAGGTACTCTAGTGAAGAGGCCTACAGGATTCTGAGCATGTCAGATGAGAGCAAAGGGGAAGACTCCCTGACACAATCAGCCTTAGATAATGAACCTGTAGATAGCAGAGGCACCCTGACAGATCGCTCAGACGATGGAGAAGAGGTCCCTGCTAAGGTCAGGTTTACCCAACCCCACTCCCAGGTTGCTGAGATGTTACAATCGCATTATGATTCTCATATGCAGCAGAGTACCAGTACTAGTGCCGCACTACCTTTTGGCGAGTCCCATAAGTGCAGTACAAGCTGGTGCGGTGGCGAGCACACGTAGTTCTCTTTTTTCCATTCAGCCCACAAGCTGCATAAAGAAAAAATTACATATCATATACACCCAACAAGGACCAGCTACTTACTGGTACAATCACTGGACTTTGAGTGGTTATACCAGGATGATATTGTCAGGAATGGACTTGCCAATAGTGGTGGGACTCATCTGCCTTGTGGGCTGCAGTACCAGGGCTGGCCAGCAGGTGCTCTCAACAACCAGAGGTTCACTTCGGCAATTAGCCATCACCTGGGGCTGATTGCAGGTGGTGTATTTAAGGGATGGCCAGACCTGCAGTCTGTGCCTTGGTGTGTGTTTTTCCATGGGCCCCTGTATCTTGTAACCTGCATTCCTGTTCCTGTTCCTGCCTGACTTGTTGCCGACCCTGCCTGATCCTGACCTCTGCTAACTTCTCCTGTTTGATCCCTGGCTTGTGACCCTGACCATTCTCTCCGCCTGCTCCTCCTGTACCTACCTGCCCGATAGTTATCGACCCGGCCTGCCTGACTACGTTGTGCTCTATATGTGTATGTACCTGTGTATCTT